CAGGGTAGGTGGGTGGGTGGGTGGTCAGGGTGGGGCTGGGAACTTCTCCCTGGAGCAGGACTCCATGTAGTGGATGGAAGGAGATCCCATAGCCTCTTTCTGCTGCTTCCCCTGAGGTTGTGGATCTGGTGGTGGTTGATGTTGGCTCCATTATAATCCACACTCTCCTTGCATAATTGTGACTGAGAGGGAGCTGCCCAGCCTAGAAATATGTTCTCAGCCCCCCTTGCATCTCTCCAATAAAATATGAGCAGAAGGGAAATCTGTAGAATGTCACTTCTGGGCCAAGTTTTTTTAAGAAGCTGGTGAAACTTCTCCACTCTGTCTCTTCCCATTTGCCAGGTAGAAACAGATAATTCTGAGCCCTAGGAAATAATGGAGGCGCAAGATTAACAAATCTGGCATGTGAATCAGCAGATGGAGCATAGCTGCCAACCATGCAGGACACCTGTGGCGAGAAATATACTATTGTGTTAAGTCACTGAGAGTCAGGGGGTTATTTGTTACAGCATCTGGCATTACATTCACTAACACACTGATCCTTCCTTTCTGGGCCCAGATATCAGTAAAGCTTGAGCCCTCCTGTCATTCTGTAAAATGAGCCTCTAATCCCCAACTGTGGCATTCAGGCTTTCACAGAGCAGGTCTATACAGTGGCCCAAAGTCCCTATGTTTGCTAGTTAAAAGTTTTCGGCATATTTCCCTCCATTCTTTGCACAAATGTAAACCTTTCCCCATGTTCTTATGGAAGTGTTCTTCCATGTTGATAGCTGGAAGTCATTAAAGCAGACCTGAAAGTTGCATTCCGTCTTCCATGTAGCTCAGCAGAACTTCATGCAGAGGGTCTCCTGGTTGCTGCGTAGAAGTCAGTGCTTGCTTGGGACCCATCAATCTGATTTAGGGTGGTTAGAATGCATGTACGGGGTGTGGATGGAGAGGAAATACTCATCTCCTTGCCCCACTCTTTTGACCCCTCCACATGGGGGTGCACCTTCAGACATGATCTTTAAAGTGAGTCCCTAGTTCTCAGCTGTGATTCATGTGCTAATTACAAAGCCGAGCTAATTTCAATGAACCCCATTGACTGGACTTGGGTTGTACAAGGAGTTGGTAGGTACTAGTTGAGGATAAGGAGATACCACCTCCATCCCTTCTTGAGCTAACAACCCCCTGACTTGGAAGGGGCCTAAGTTAATTTATAAAGCGACCCCTTTTTGGCAGACAGACTGAATCCATTGGTTTGAATGTATGCGTGCACACATGTGCATGTGCATGTGTATGCCCATCCCATGGAGGTGTCTGATGTGACTCTCTGAATATGTTTCTGTGCATATGTGTGGGAGTGTGGCTCACACATGTGTACAAGAGAGAATCTGTGTGCAGAGTGTGTTTCTGCACATGTGACCTCTCACATGGCTGAGTGTGAGTCTGTGTGTGTGTTCTGGAAGTGTGTCTAAGTATTCACTTTTGTATGCCCCTGTATTTGAACATGAGTCCAGGTGATATAAGTTCCATGTGCCTGCTGTATCCATGTGTGTTCTGGTGAGCCTCTGAGTATGTGATGTGCATGTATGAGTATGGATGTGTATTTTGGGGCAGATTCTGTGTGTGGATATGAGCAGTTCCCTTCCCCCCAAGTCTCCCTCAGCTCTCAGGCAATTTAACTTCATTCTTCCTGCTGTGGCTGTTTCCACTGCTTCTGTCCCCTTCTCCAGATGTTGCAATTATGTAAATGCAGCAATTAAGTGGAGTCCCCCAAATAAGCATCCCACCAGGATCCCCTTCCAGGAGCTAATGAGAGATTACAGCACATGCAGACACATACACGGTGCTATTCAGGCACCACAGGGACCACCCCCCCTATACTGCACATGCCGTGGCATGAGGGCACACAAACGGCATAGGGGGTCCCTTTGCCCACCTGCTTCATTCGTACTTATCCTTCAGATCTCAGTATAAAGACCCCCTCCTCCGGGAAGCCCTCCTGACTCCGGGGGTGGGGGAGTTGGGGGGAGAAGGGTTGGACTCTGCCTCTGGGGCCCACACCCTCTGTTTCCCCCATGAGAGCTCTGACCGCTGTGGCCTGTGCTTTGTCATCAGAGCCCTTATTATTTTGCCCTATGCTTCCCCTAGCACACTTTGACCACTATGGCCTGGGCTTCTGTCATGACAGTCCCAATCTTTCTAGTCCAAGCTTCTCCCATCCCCACCCTGACCACGCCAGGCTGTCTAGAGATGTGTCTTTCTCCCTTTTGGAATGTGAGCTCAGTGAAGCAGGACCTGACGCTGTCTTGGTCACACTTTTACTGCAGTGTCATCTGGCACACAACCATGCCCAGAAATCCAAAGTAAATGTTGAGCTAGCATCTTTGCCTCTGCCTTTCTTTGTTGCCAAATCTCTCTTTATGTCTCTAAACATGTTAGTTTCTTTGGCACACATTTGGGGTGCTGCATGCCCTCAATTCACCAGGTTTTGGCATAGGTGCGGTGGACAGTACCACGCACATTGCAGATGTTCCTGGTTTAGCCCAGTGGTTCTCAAAGTGTGGTCCCTGGACCAGCAGCATTACCATCACCTGGAAAGGTAGAAATGCAAATCGGAAACTCTGGGACTGGGGCCTGGAGATCTATGGTTAACAAGTCCTCCAGGTGATCCTGATGCAGCTAAAGTGTGAGGACCTTGGGTCTAGTTCATGCAAGTCATCCCTCTGCTTTTCCACCTCAGATCTCAGCTGGCTCTCAGTACCACCCCCTCTCACCAAGGGACAGTCATCACCAAAGGGGGCAAGATTCTGTGGATAAATGCCCCAGCCTCTCTGAACTTTGCAGCAGGGAAGGAAGGGAAGGAACGACAATTCTGATGTGTTCTACAGTGTTCCTTAATGTTCCCCAGCAGAACTGAGCCCCGGTTGCCCAAAGAGGTAACCCATTCCTCGTCTGCACCTTCTATTAACTTTGTTCCTCCTCTGCCTCACTCTTCCCCCTCCCGCCCTTGCCTATTTCCTGGGGCCATACACCAAATCAGCCAGTTCCTCTGAATTCTAATCTCAGTCTGTTTGGGATTGTCTCCAAGTATTTTCCTCTATCTCCCCCACCTCCACCTCTCCTGCGGCGTCTCTGAAATTTCTCACCCTTTTTCTGAGCATCTGAGAAACTGTATCTGCTGTGCTGGGCCAGGAGCACTGATGAACTTTGCTAATGATTGGGAAAGGTGGACCCTACAGCTGAGTTAATTTTAGCTGCAATTTTTCAATACACGCAAGTGGAAGGAGCCAAAAGTCTGTTCTGAAACCTTCAGCAGAGCTAGGGATGCCAGGGTGGATGTGCATTCATGCCCCCGCCCCCAACAAGGTTACTTTACTCCTCTGCTCAGTTGGGGGTTCCCGGGGGTGGTTTTTGATCAGGTCCCCCCAGCGTAGGGCCATGACCACAAGCCAAGGCTGTGCCCCCTTCGGACGAGGGTTCGCAAAAGATTAAGTCCCCCACGCTGCTATAACCAATAGCAACGTTCCCAGGCCAGGCTTGTAGACCACGGCCCACATTCCTCTTCCTGCAACACCATCTGCCAGGAAACGTGTGGAACCCACCCCCCTAACCTCTCCTCCACTATCCTCCACAAGCATCAGCACAGGAAGACACCACTCCTGGTGAGTCATGTGTTAGTACAATTCTAGTAGGATATTCTGTGGGGCAGTGGACCTGAGTTGGGGAGACGGGAAGGCAGTGGACATACTTTTCTGGGTCAACCCAACCACCCCCCTGCCTCTCTCCCAATTCCTAATTTCTCCTTCCTCCATGGGATATCTGGCCAGTGTATCTTGAGGTCTAGCTCTAAATCCAGAGGGCACAGAGTCTTGGAGCCAAGTTTTCCCCTTGCAGCCAGGGCAAGGAGTCTTGGGAAGGAGCAGAGTCTCCCCTCTGGCCTGAAAGATCAGGCTTGTTGCTGGGCAGGGTTCAAGAATGGAAACTCCACCTGAGGGAAGGACATCCCAGAGAGGTGATGCTGAGGCACAGGGACAGAAGGATACAGGCTTCTGTGGGGGCCGGGGGCTCTGGGATGGAGAACCACATTCAAGGCTGTAAATGAGAACTGGACACACACATATACACATACCCATACTCATAGCTGAGTTGCCCCAGGTCAGTCTGTCTCTGTCTCTGTCTCTCTCCCATTTCTCTGTCTCTCTGACTTTATCTCGATCTCTAACTTGTGCTGTATTGTCTCTCTTTTTCTTTCTGGGTCTGTCACTGTCTCTGTATTTCCATCTCTCCTTGAATACGTGTGTCTCTTCCTATCTCTCTGTCTCTCTATCTGCCTCTCTCTCATTCTACTCCTCTCTGTCCCTCAATCTAAGCCTGCCTTTTTATCTCTGTCTCTCTCTATCTCTGTGTGTCTCTCTGTCTCAGTCTCTGTGTCTCTCTCTATCTCTCTGACTCTCTCTTTATCCAAGGATTCTCCCTCCGAAGCAAAGCCAGAACGACTCCGTGAGAGGTGAGGCCCGGGGCGCTCCTTTGAGCGAGGGGACCTGCCTACACCTTTAATTGCGGGCGCGCGCGGGGCCTGCGCCTTTAAGCACGGGCGCGCGCACGGCCCTGGGTTCCCGGCGAGGAGGCAGCCGGAGCGCCCGGACCCGGCCCGC